CCTACCTCTTGCAGTTCCAACTGTGGCTCTGGATCCCTGAACTCTTGGCTTCAACATGTATTGGCACTGCCGACACTGCAGCCAGACTGGCCTATATTTTGGCTGAAGCTTGTGTGCAACTACTCAGCTGAGCATTCTACCTGCCTTCTTAGTTGTTTGAACTGCAGTCCCATCATTAAAGCCGTTGCAACCTGCTACAGGCCAGTCAAGTGATGCCACTGATGTTCTGTCTTGGTGTTTGGAGGTTGTGGGGTCTGATGGGAAACAATAGGCTTCAGCTCAACACTGGTTAAACCAAGTGGCTATGAGTTTTGAGCCCCCCCCCCAGCTCCAGAGACTTTCCAGTTTTATCTCTGAGTGGTGTGCAATTTGGGGGTTCTTCTAGACTCCTGGCTCTTGCTCAAAGAGCAGGTGGCAGCTATGGCTAGGAGGGCCTTTGCACAGGTTCATCTTGTGTACCAACAGCACCCATTCCTAGACCAACTCATGCCTCAATTACCTCCTGATTTGATTACTGTAATGTGCTCTACATGGGCTATTCCAAATGCTCAATGAAGAGCATCTGAAAGCTACCGCTAGTCCAGAATACAGCAGTGTGGGCAGTGTGGGACACTTCACGGTACACCCATGTGAAACCTCTGTCCTGTGAGCTGAACTGGCTTCCACTGGATTTCTGGGTGCAATTCAAGGTGCAGGTTGTCACCTATAAAGCAATACATGGCATAGGGCCAGGATACTTGGGGGACTGTCGGTTTCCAGCTCCTTCTGCTCTCCCTGCTAGAAGTGGCAGGGTTGGCATGCTTCAGGTCCTTTCATTAGGAAGTATCACCTTGTGGGTCCTAAGAGTTGTGTCATCTCTCCCCCGGCACCTGCCCTACAGAACAATATCTCCCCAGAGATCCAGATGTCCCCAACCCTTCTGGCTTTTAATAAGGCATTAAAGACATAGATGTTGCCTCAGGCACTGCGGCCAGATGATTAAACCGGCCTTGTTGGTGGATTTGTTTGATTGGTCTCTGTAGATTAATATTGGACTGTTTAGCCCTGGGTATATGTTTTATATATTGATAAAATGTAATAAAATATACAATTTAGGGTTCTATTTGATGTATTACGTTTGTTGGCTTTAATTCTCTGTCACTGCTGTGAGATGGGCAGCTAGATAAATTGTTTAAATAAATAAATATTATGTGATTGTTCAGCATAGAACAGAACAAGAACTAACTTTCAACCTTTTGTTAACTTCCTAGAGTTAGCAGAGATTATTTTCAAAACTTCTTAAAAGAAACTTTCAACAACTGGCTTATGTTGTAAATAAATGATTGATACTGATCACAGATCAGATGGAAGCAAACAAGTTGAATTTTATTTCAGTCAAGACAGAAGCACTCTTGTCAGTTGCAGGCAGCTCGAGAAATAGGAATTCAGGACAAGCTTTCATTTTTACTGGAGAATTAAAGTACAATTCATCTGGAGGCCTTCGTGTTAGAGAAAGACGTTCGATAGAGACATCTGGACTCTGAATAAGACCACAGCTGGTCTTGAATTAGAGAGCTAAGAAGTGCAGAACCCACCATCAACTGCAGAAAGACCAGTCAAAGAAAGCACCTCATATCACTAGGCCAGAGAACATCAGACCATGCTTTCTAATCCAGGTCATGTTTAGTTTTTGGTCTGAGGCACAACACTGGTCCTTGCTGGATGTAAATAACCTGCATCTCTCTCTTGCTCTGGGCTATGCCTTGTTCAACTCACTGGAAGACGTTTGTCTTATTCTGCAGAGAGTAAACTGTTACTGGAATCCCCCGTTGCCAGCTCAATGCATGTGGAGAGAACAATATCTGTGTCAACACCATTGAGTATTAAGGAATTGGTGAGGGATGAAGGCTATGGATCTCAAATGCCAGTTTGCCATCACAACACTTTTTAACTATGAGTTGTGCCACAGCAAGAAATTATTACTACCATGTAATCAGTTGTCAAGCTGCTTTTTACTGTGCTACTAATTCCACAGACAGAACAGCTCCATACACAATTTCTCACTCCTGGCACTACTACTCATTTATACTCTCAGATCCTTCTAGGTAGGGTTTGCAATCACCCTGCACCACTTCTAGAATTGTACGGGGTGTCCAAGCAAGGACATCTCCCATTTGTTACCTTCTGCTGTGGAAGGAGATAGCTCTTAAAATACTGATACCACAAGACTGAACAGAGACAGCAAGGCCATGAACTGGAGTGGGAAGTGGGGATAACTTACCATTCAAGTCAGAATATTCAAATCTGATCCATACAATTTTCTCTTTTTCTTCTGTTGGAGCTGTACTGCTATAAGCCTATAAGGAAAAAAATTGTGTTCAATGTGCTAAAGATAATGCAAAAACAAAAATCCTCAATTGTAGAGTTAACAGCTACTCTCAGAAAAGCATAATAGGATGTGCAACAATCCTACTGCATCCTCTCTCCTAAAACAGTACAAAGTTTCACTCTCCTGGCTGCCTGTTTATGTTCTGTTATTTTCTAACCATCACTCTACATTACATAGCTAGTATCCTCAGTCATTATTGAGGTTGTTTTATTTTCTGGGCTGGAGGGCATACTGTAATTTTTTTCTGCCTACAATGTTGACACTTCTCCTCAAGCAGGCCAATTGCTACTCTTTTTTTCTCAGTGGTTCCATTTTGATTACAATCATATAAGGACTCATAGCCTGAATTTAATTTTTTTTAAAGTATACAACTCATTTGCATAATATACTAAACCAAAATCCAACAAACCACATTATGTCTTATTGTGATGTACAAACTATGCCTAACTTTTTAACATAACTTGACAAGCTTTTTTCTTCATTTTTAATTACACTTCTTTTTTGGAACCCATTTCAAGAATACAAATTTTAAAACATTGCAATGAAATATTTACACTTGCCTGCGGTACAACATCTTGTAGAAATGTAACAACACTTTCCATGTACGACTGTTCCCTGGAACAGAAAAATGAATATCCATAAAAAACAACCCATTGTTTATTATATACATACATAAATATCCATCATGTAATTTCAGGTTAAGCACCAACATGCACATCACAGAAAAGGACTAAGAAACAGTAACCCAAAGAAATGAAGGGTGTTAAGATAAAAAAAAAAAAAAAAAGACAGGAAACATAGGATTAAGTTAGGTTTAAAATTACATTTTTTTCAGAACATTACAGAATTTTTTTCCAAAAGTCAACTTTGATACTTCTATTATCACTATTCACTGGAACATTACATGCAACTATCACCAATTTTATACAAACCCGTAACAATCTAGATGACACCAATTCATATTTTCTGAGATACTGAGACCTTTCACTCATAATTAAACCTACAGTTTCACTCTCCTGCATGTATTTGTCAACTCCATTCCATAAGATCAGACCACCTTCATTCAGATCTTTTATATTCTTCCCTTTTTTCTTGATTTCAGTCACACAATGTATCTCTCTTTATTTCTTTCATTTCATTTTTGATCAATTCTCTTTAGTATTTGCTTATATTCTCTGTCACAGTTTTCCATATGCCTTGATCATCACCAGATAGTGTCACAGATATTGACTTCTGCTGATCATCAGAGCTTTGGTCAATTAAGGCATTCACATAATGCTTTTTAGTTAGATAGAGAAGGTGTAAACTAAGTGATCGGCTTTAGTCATACCTGTACCCACATGCCCCATAAGCAACTGATAAACAATGTGGACTTTTCAGAATAGGGATTATAAATTTTGTTACATTGCATCACCTACAATGTCCAGGCACTTTTCAAGGATATTTCCACAGAACCATTTCAATTTCTGCAGAACTCAGTGGGATCTGAGTGAACATGTACAAGGTTCAAGTTATATATTACTGAAAAAGAACCCAAACTTCTGTTCACTGATTCTTCTGTAATGAGTCCAACTTCCAACTCTTGTCTGGATGTTTTAATAAAGATTTTAACATTCTATGATGTTACAGGAGCCACATTCAATTTTTTTCATGACTTTCTACCACATAGTATAATACAAGTTATTCACAAAAACAACACCAAACCCATGTTAGAACAAATAAATTCCTTAACTTTCAATATTATAGGCTGTTAATTAACCAGGTGCTTCTAATGTTGGAAATATAAATATTTACCTTTAAAAACAAACTATAATTCTACTGAATAATTAACATCTCAGAAAATCACGTCACCCCACCCATTTTATACTGCTCACAACAGGGATGTGGCTTTTAAAATATCAATATTAAGTTAGAAAAACAGCATATCATGATTAATATTAATATTTTCATATATCATCATCCTCTCTAAACACCTTGAGGTAGTTTACATTAACATCTACATAATATGAACACACTCAACAAAATAAACTTATTAAAATAAACATAAAGCTCATATTAAAATGGTTTAAAGCTACTAATTACTATTAAAATCAGGCTGATAAGATCTAAGGCTATGGGTGATACCTGAGAAGGACTAGTCCCAAGTTGCCACCAGACAACCAGGTATCACTAAAGATGGACCTCTCCCTGTGGCTTCAATGAGCAACAGGGATCATACAAAGAAAGGTGTTCTTTCAGATAACCCAGGCTTCAGTCATTTAGGACTTTAAAAATTATAGCCAACGTTCCATATTTCACCCAGAAACCTATATGAGCAGCTGCTGCAACTCTTTAAAACTGACATTAGATGGCGTCTCCTAGAAGTCCAAAACAACCAATTTGTCCACCATACTGTGAACTAACTAAAGTTTCCAAATTATATATGAGTCTAGTTTGGAGGTTACCAACCAAAGCATTACAGTTCTGCAGTCTACAGTCCTGCTTTTCCAGGAATGGGTGGAGCTATCATATTAGTAACAGGTGCTAAGAAACATCTCTAGTTATAACATCAACCTGAAACACCTGTATGAGATCAGATTCCAAAAGCACTCTCAAACCACATATCTGCTCTTTCTGCTAAATGCCACAACAGAAGACCATCCTACACTTTTGGCTTTTCATAACAAGCACCTCCATCTTGCTTGGATTTAATTTCAATTTATTATCCTTTATGCAATCCATAAGTGCCTATGGACAGGCATTAAGGCAAATAATACCATAACTTGAGAATGACATGGAGAAATAGATTTGGGTATCACCAACACCTTATAACACCAAACCTTCTGATGGCCTTTCCCAGTGATTTCATGTAAATGATCAAATGAAGGCACCAGTGACAGAGTCTTGAAGTAGTCTATGTAACAATTCTTTTGAGAGTAACACAATACCTCTGCCTCCAAATCTTTCAGGCGATTCAGAAGGATACGTGGTCAGTCCAAAGTAATCCAAGAATCAAACATAATAATGTTCCTTCTGTCAATTCCTTGACAAGATCATCTAGCAGGCAGATCAAGGCTGTCTTAATCCTATAGCCTACCCTAAAGCCACAATGAAATCAGTCTTGATTTTCTCCAAGAGCACTTGAAGCTTATTAATCTGTACCACAGGAAGTTGGGGACTGGCCTGCAATTATCCATCATCTCTCTAGAGAAGGGGTCTAACCACTGTCTCTTTTAAACAAGAAGACATCTTGCCCCTCCCCCCAATAAAGGATATCAACTAGGCCAGTTCCAATAACTTCTTTGCAAGTTGAAATCAATCATGTTGGCCAAGGAGATAAAGAACACCCCAACAGCTGTCTACTTCTTCAGATTCATAGAATCAAATAGATTTACTATAATCCAACACAAGGGATTACTCAGATGGCTCATAATTGTCACAGCTGCTTTGAACTCTGGGCTGCACCAGACAAAGCAGTTCCAAAGTGGACATCAAAATAACCCACTGCCAAAAACTTCATTCCGTCACTCATACACATAATGTGTTTAGCAAACGTCAGTAGCAGACACATTCTTCAAGTTTCATCTTCCATTTAGAACTGTAGGTGAACAATATGGAATTGTACCTATAAAGGTATGCTTTAAGCACTTACGTAACAGCCTGTGGTCGAACTATCACTCCTCCGGTACATCGGCTTGGGCGGCGGGGAGATTCACCAGCCATTACTGTTCTAAAATTCCTGAAAACAAAACAAAAAAAAGTGTTTTTTGAATAACATCTCACACTCTCTTGCTCAACAACTTCTACAATGCTCATCAACAGCACTATTTTAAAAAGAAATTGATATGTCAAGACATGTAAACAGCAAGAATAGCAGGTCAAAAAAGGCAAGTTATGATGGATCAATGCTACATTTTACCTCCCATAGCTCAGAGAAAACCTTGAATTGGAACCTCTGAAGCCCTGCCTAAAAAAAATGCCCTACCCCCTGAGACTTCCTATAAGGCTATATAAAATGAATAAATAAATAAATAAAATAAATAAATAAAAAGTGGCTAGTAATAGAAAAATTGACTCAGTCTTAACTCAATGGTTACTTCACCCAATCACACTAAGCTAAAATCAAATAAGGACACTATGGCTTAGTGCGATATATAAATCTACCACTAAAATCAGTGGGGCTTAAGTTAGCTGCAGCTAAAGTCATCTGACTTTATTTCAAAGATCTACTTAAGCATAACTAAATATGGATACAACCAATTGCCAGTCTCACAGGCAAAATGATCATCTGAAGCCATCAACTTTCTATGATCCTTTCCTCTATCCAGGGGTACAAAAGATATTAAAAGCCTTTGCTGTGGAAGAAACTCTCACTAGAGTAGAGTCAGGCTTCCTTCTTCTTACAGTCTAAAAGTGGGCTTAAAACATATCTAAACCCAGGCCTTTTAGAACTGTTAAGGGATTTATACAACTGGATTAACACATACAAATGAATAGCCAAAACAATAATAACAAAAACCATTGAAAACAAATTAAAGCAATTAAAACAATTAACTATAAAACACAGGAGAGTGCAATCAGCATCTTACAAACAATACACCATTTCATATGATCCATACCTCCACGGGATCCCCAGGCCCAAAGGCGAAGCCATGTCTCCAGGGCCTTTTGAAAAGCCAGTAGGGTTGGGGCTGATATTACCACAGGGGGGATGATGTACCAGAGGGTAAGTGCCAGGGCAGAAAAGGCTCTCCTCCTGGGCCCTGTCAGATGAAACTCCTTAGTAGACAGGATCCATAACTTGCCCCTTCTGCCAGACCTGATGGGATGGGTAGATGTAACCAGGGAGAGGCGGTTCCTCAAATAACCTGGCCCCATGCCATGTAGGGCTTTATAGGTCATAACCAGCACATTCAACTGAACCTGGAAACAAACTGACAACCAGTGCAGCTCATGGAGTAGAGGTATAATGTACACTGATTGAGGAGTGCGCATAACTGCCTGCAGCACCACATTTTGCACCAGTTGCAGCTTCCAGGTGCTCTTCAAGGGCAGCCCCTTGTAGATCACATTACAGTAATCCATTTGGGAGGTGACCAGGGCATGAGTGACTGAGAGTAGAGCCTCCTGATCCAGGAAAAGGTGCAACGGGCACATAACCTGAAGTTGCAGAAAGGGCCTCCTCTGACTAGAACCTGCCGTGGAGGAAGGAAGAGAACCAGTGCAATACAGTGCCACCCACTCCCAACCCCTGCAGCCAGTCCATAAGGATACCATGGCTGTACTGAAAGCTGCCAAGAGTAGAGCAAGGACAGATGCACTACCCCCATCCCACTCCTGCCAGAGGTAATCCAAAGGCACAACCAATGCTGTTTCAGTCCCATGCCCAGACCTGAAATCTGACTGAAAGAGGTTCAGATAATCACTTAATCCAGAATCATCTGAAGCTATTGCAGGACCTTCTCAATAACCTGCCCACAAAAAGGAAGTTTGGATACTGGATGAAAATTGTTCATTATGGTTGGGTTTAACGATGGCTTCTTGAGGAGGGGGCAAACCAATGCCTCTTTAAGAACAACCCTCTCTCTTAAAGAAAAATTTACCACCACTAGAACCCAGCCACAGCCACTTCCCGGGAGGCCTTTGCCAAGCAGGAAGGACATGGATCTAGTAAGCAGGTGGCCAGGCTCACAGTCATGAGGACCCTGTCTGCTTCCTCAGACCCAAGAGGCTCAAACTCTTCCCAGATAACAGGGCAAGACCACCCCCCAGACAACTCCACAGTACTTGTATCAAGGCTGGAATCCAACTGGGAGTGAATCCAAGCAATTTTGTCTGACAGATGTCCTGCATATTTCTTTGTGTAGCCCTGTAGGTGAACCTCTGAGTCCCTTCTACCCAAAAGGGCTTGGGTCACCCTAAACAAGGTCGCTGGTCAACTATCTGCAGACACAATAAGAGCGGAGAAGTACTGACACTTTGCTGCCCCTACCATCACAAGATAGGCCTTAATAGCTGCTCTAACCCGTGTTTGGTCACGTTTGCTCTTTGTCAACCTTCAGCCACTGTATTTTCTAAAATTTGGTTTAGTTAGAGCTTAGATGTGCTACTTAGGAGAAACACTGTATTCATTTTCATGAATGTAAAAAGGTCCCTAGACATCTTTTGCTGTTGCCCAAAAGAGCACTTGGGCCAGTATATTAAAGAGCAAATATGTCAATAAGAATCCCAGAGTGGCTTACAAGATTTCTTCTACACTGACTGATTGTAAGCTATTCCTTCCTCCTTGCCCATCTTGAAACATGTATGCCCTCAAAATAAAGCAAGATAACTATTTCCTAAGTTCAGTATTTTTTTATTATTTTCAGTCTTCAAAAGTTACCATTTTAAACAATTAGTTCAAAAGAACCCTGTGTCCTTTAGGCACAAAGACATGCCTGACCAGCAGGGGGCCACAGTATATTTTGATAACCCAAAAATCTGAGGCTAGCAGAACTGTGTTAATCATAACCTCAGATGTGTACATACACACACAGTTGTCTCCTCTGTTCCATTCCAGCCTCTTCTGTTCTATCTGAAACTCCAATAGCAGCTAGGTATTAAAGGAAAAAGCAGCTAAGAACTTGTTCCAGAGAGAGTGAAAAAGGCTCCTCTTTTGGCACCCACTACTTTCAGACTCATCTAGTGCTCTGTCCTCCCAGTCCTGAGAGCACCTCTGGTAATGTCGCTCTGAATCCCCACCCTATCACATGCTCTTGTTGATGTTCTTTAAACTGTCTTATATCCTTGCTTCTTTCACTACCATTTTCTTTTAAATTAGTATGTAATTTCACTGATATTATTAGGGCCTTCCACACCCTACAATTAAGGTACAACACAAAATTTGGGACAAAAGACCTTTCAGTTCCATCCCTTCCTACTATTATAACAGATTAAATGACAAAGTGTTGCCCAAATCATCTTTTGGATTGATCAACAAAATAAACATACTAAAACTGAAGGCAAACGGTATCAACTTCTTATTCTGCTGGTCTGATATGAAAAAAAAAATGCAGTCACTCAAGTAGTAGCTAAAAAGCATTAAGGGTCCAATGTGCCAAATCACACCATTGGTTATCAATGGGCAATGTCCAATGATGGCCATGTTCACACATCACACTGATCTACAAATTAATCATGTGGTTAGTGTATAGTTCAGTATGACATGCAAACCCATAAAATTGAGTCAGTTACTCATGTCCAAATATGCAAACACAGCAATTGTTTGCTCAGTCATAGTTTATTATTTATTATAATAAATTAGCCAGATTCACACAACATGCTTGTTAATCAAGCTGCTTAGCATTCAAATACAGTATGCTCAGTGTCTCTTGGGTATTGCACTACTGGATACCTGAGGGGAAAGGTGGCATTTAGGATGAATAGTTAGTAAGTTATTGATTATCCAGATTAAAGGAAATCAAGATGGTGGCCATTTAGAGTTTGTGGAACACAGTGGCTTGGTGTTAGAATCCTCACAATCAATCACTTGTATTGCTAGTTTGCTTGCTTTGTTTCTGCCATTACAATGAGGGGGGGGGAAGGGAGGGAAGGTTGGAAGGTTAACCGTTAGGTGCAGATGGACTATTATCTGGCTCTCAGGAATGCCCAAGGTCATACCAACGTGAGAACCAGAGAGAATCTTCAACATGCGCAAGGAAGATTCAAAGACAGAAGGGGGGGGTGAAATGGGAGTGAGGTAAACTAAGTTTTGGCACATGCGGGACTCAGTTCCAGCAATGCTTTAGAGCTGTATCCTACTTTCCAATAAATGGACTTTTCTTTGAACCTGCATTGGTTTCAATGGGAGTTGCTTTCATTGGGAACTGAGTACTGTGGTTCTTATACTTGGTTTGCATGAGACACTGAACCTCAAACTAGCCAAGTGGCCTTTAGTTAATGTGTCACTACTTTGTTTATAGTTCAGTGTATTGTGCAAATTTCAAAATTGGTTTAACTGAATATACCATCACTAAATTATCCATTGTTAAGAATGTTGTGCAAATACACTCTATATTCCAGGTCACATTTGTTGTTAAGTTGTCACATTTACATATTCAGTAATGTAATTTTATTTGTAATATTATCAAATCAAGTGATGCACATATGTCCATTACAGAGTTATGCTAAACTTAAATAATATGTCCAAGTACTTCTCAGTCTCCCCTTATTCAGACACATACATAGCATCTAACAGTCCTTCCAACTAATCCTTGCCTCCGTCCTACACAAAAACCAGTTGCTGGCCTCACACATTACACTAAACCATAGTATTACTTGTTTGATTCTGATATACATTGGGTTCATACAATATGCCACAGCATGATTGATCAATAACTCATAGTGGCTGATTTAACGACTCATACTAAACTGTAAATAAGCTAACCATGTTACATCTTAGCCCACTGTGACCCCAACAGCTTTGTCAACTATGGTTTATTTATATGTATTTTCCAATTATATGCTGCCCACTCCTGAACAACTCTGGGTAAATTCTGTAAACACACTAAAAATCATAAAAATATCACAGCTTAAAGAAAAACAATGCAACTTTCTCCTACACTGGAATAAGGAGGAAGCCTGCTACCACCCCAAATGCCAATTATTTATTTAAATTTATTGGCCAGTGGACTTCCAGAATAAAAGCCCCATCAAGCAGAATCTCCTTGGTTGGGCCTTTACTTGCCACAGCCATGACAGGGCCGGTAATAGCTGCCTCACTGCATGGCTCAGCCCTCTGCATCAACCCACCCCACTGTGGTTTCCTCAACCAACCCTGGTTGTTCAAACCACGGCCTGAAATTGACACGTGATCCCTGGGATAAAGCCCACGCCCCGTACCTGCAGCCCGAGAGCCCCAGCGTTATGGGCTTCGGGGCCAGTCGCTGTCCCTGAGGCTGGCCTACCTCGCAGGGCTGCCATGAGGGTCAGAGACGGGCGTGGGAGGAGAGGGAGATCGAGCAGCCCTTGAGGGAAAGAGGGGATGTCACCATACTAGGAGACAGGGGGCCGCCTCAGGCACCCCCTTCCCAGGTGCCCCCCAACTCCCCTCTCACTTCAAGCTGACCACTCACACGCTCGCCCCTCCCCCACCTTTCCTGTCAGCCCGGGTTCCCCTCCCCCTC